CAGGTCGACGAAGTGCTTGCCGCCCTCGCCCAGCGGCGTGTCGGAGGGCACCAGGTAGAGGAAGCGGGCCGGCAGGAAGCCCGGCGCCTCGCCGCGCGGCGCCGCCGGCTTGCGCCCCTTGGCCTTGAAGCCGGCCTCGGCCGCGGCCTCCAGGCCGGCGGCATGGCCCTGCTCCAGGCAGCGCGCCAGCTCGAAGGCGCCGTTGGCGGCGCCGGCCACGCGCTGGCCGGGACGGGTCGCCGCGCCGGGCACGAAGCAGGCCTGGGCCGCGTCCCAGACGAGCTGGCCCTTGGCCTGGGCGAAGAGGTGCACCGTCGGCGACCAGCCGCCGGAGGAGACCAGCAGGTCGCAGTCCAGCGGCGTGCCGCCGCCGAAGACGCGGGTGCCGCTCTCGTCGAGCGGGGCGATGCGGCAGCCGGTGACGCGCTTGCCGCCGTCGGTGCCGATCACCGCGTGGCCGGCGAAGATGTCCAGCCCGGCCGCCCGGGCCTGCTCCGTCAGCGGGCCGCTCGGCTCCTCGCGCAGGTCGACCACGGCGGCAACCCGGCCGCCGGCCGCGTGCAGCGCCAGGGCGGCGCCGTAGCCGCCGTCGTTGTTGGTGAAGACCACCGCCTTGTCGCCGGGTCGCACGCCGAAGCGCCGCAGGTAGGTCTGGGCGGCGCCGGCCAGCATGATCCCCGGACGGTCGTTGTCGCGGAACACCAGCGGCCGCTCGATCGCGCCGGTGGCGTAGACCACCTGCCTGGCGCGCAGCTTCCACAGCCGCTGGCGCGGCAGGTGATCCGGCCGCTCGCTCTCGGCCAGATGGTCGGTGACGCGCTCGTTGAGGGCGAAGAAGTTGTGGTCGTAGACCCCGAAGCACTGGGTGCGCCGCAGCAGGGTAACCTCCGGGTGGCGCGCCAGCTCCGCCTCGGCCGCGGCGACCCACTCCAGGGCCGGGCGCCCCTCGATCTCGGTCTCCGGCGCGCTCAGCAGCCAGCCGCCGAGCAGCGGCTCCTGCTCGGCCAGGACCACCCGCGCGCCGCTGCGCGCGGCCGACAGCGCCGCTGCCAAGCCGGCCGGGCCGCCGCCGACCACCANNTGGGCGAAGGTCTTGTCGTAGCGGTCGGGGTCGGCACCGGTGGGCGCGCGGCCGAGGCCGGCGGCCTGTCGGATCATCGCCTCGTACTTCATCCACATGGCGGCCGGCCACATGAAGGTCTTGT